CACACCAGATGAATGAAAAAAAGAAACAAAAGGAGGGCATGACTGCTCTTAGTTATGGTGGAGGAAAAGTCTGTTGTAAATAAGAGGGAGAGCATAGCCAGAGGAATCTGAGAGAGTCCAGAGTGAACAAGGACAGACTGAGCTGGGCCACTTGAAGAAAGAAGGGGAGGGGAGGGGACAAGTGAGAGACAAGGAGGTCAAGAGGCCAAAAGGGGGGAGGTTTGGGGGGAGGGAGCGATGTAGCCAAAATGACTGGATCATATAGGGAAGAGCAGCTGGGGGAAGGGCAGCCCAGGCCCCAGGCTGGAGAGTTTAGGGTAGGTATCCTGTCCCAGGATGGGCCCGAGGGATGCTGGCAGAATCCTGCAGATTCTGAGGGAGTCTGTTTTGGTGTATATAATTGGCACTTCAGGCGTTTGTTCCTGGTTTGAGACCTAACCTAGAGCTGTGAAGCCAGCCAGCTGTCTTCGGGACAGGGCCCGTCCTCCGTCCTTCGCATGCAGGAGCTACAGTCACCTGCACAACATGAAGCCAACGGGATCGGTCGGTGTCGGCGGTCTAGCAGCACTACTGGACTCGGTGGGTTACAAAAGAGAAACCGGAGAGAACAGGAAGGTGAGGCTGGGAGGCACTGGGTGTGTCCCGGGATGAGAAGGAACTTTTGTTTACATATAAGGAACCTACTGATGTCTTTACGATACTTTAATATTTTACTTCCCACTCAATTCTGTTATTGTTTATAGTAGGTTACTGGCAAATTTGGGGGGCGTGGGGGTTCCAGGTATATGATAATGTAAGCTGATGAGAGCCAGACTTTCACTTCCTTTAGATTCCTTTCCTTTGTCTACTTTCTCTGACCAATCCTAGGACAAACTGAGCTACCTATAGTGACAACAGATAGCTCTCACAGGATGATGGCTAGTGAGTGGAAAGCTGGTTTTGGAGGTAAGAAGTTCTCATTATAGTTCACCTTGTTAAGAGAGGCTCTATCAGTTTGCATTATAACAGCAGACTTAAAACGTACTGGAGAGCTGGCTTAGTGTTTAAGGGCACTGGGTGGGACCCTGGCTGGGTTTCCAGTGCTCAGATGGAGACTCAAAACCTTCTATAGCTCTTTTCCCAGGGGAACTGAAGCTTTCCTCTGACCTCCCAGGCGTACACGCAGCACACATACATACACACAGGTAAAATGCATGTAATAAAATAAAATTCTTTAAAACTGTAGAAAATTGGGTGGTGGTGCCAGATACCATAATCCCAGCACTTGGGAGGCAGAGGCAGGTAGATCTCTGAGTTGGAGGCCAGCCTGGTCTATAGGGCAAGTTCCAGGACAGCCAGGGATACACAGAGAAACCCTGTCTCAAAAGGGGGGTTGGGCTGGAGAGATGGCTCAGTGGTTAAGAACAATGGCTACCTCTTCCTGAGACCCTGGCTCAATTCCCAGTACCCATGTGATGGCTTACAACTGTCTGCAACTCCAGTTTCAGGGGGCCAACACCCTCACACAGACATTCATGCAGGCAAAACACCAATGCACATAAAATGAAAATTAAAAAAAATATAGAAAATTTAGTAATCTCAGTGCTTAGAAGGCTCAGGCAGATGGAGGGAGAGCTCAAGGCTGGTCTATGAGATGGCTAAACTCTGTCTAAAATAACAATCTGGTGTAGGTCTTAAACTCTATCAAATGTCCTTTGTAGTATCTGAAAGCTGTTTAATCATGGTTGTCTTTCTTGAAAAATTATCTGGATTTACTTTTAAAAAGCGACTTTCTTGGAAGCTGGAGAGATGGCTTAGATGTTAAGAGCACTGGCTGCTCTTCCAGAGGTGCTGAGTTCAATTCCCAGCAACCATGTGGTTTCTCACAAGCATCTATAATGAGATCCAATGCCCTCTGCTGGAATGCAGGTGTACATGCAGATAGAGCATTCATGTAAAATAAATAAATAAATAAATACATAAATCTTAAAAAAGAAAAAAAGTGACTTTCCTCTTAGAGAGATGTCCAGACTTTCAAATGATATCTCAAGTGTAGCAGTGTGCGTGGCATCCAGGGCGAACAATCACTATGGAGATATAGTCACCAGGCCTTGTGCACTGCAGGTTTTTTATGCTACTTTGATTTTTTATGAAAGTTCTTCTGGATGCTCTAGATTTGGGCTCAGAAAAGATAGCAGAGAAAACTGTCAGAGTGTCCATAAAGGGAAGATAGAGAGAGAGGGAGGGGCAGGAGGAGAGGGGATGTGTGCTGAGGGGGGGGGGTCAGATTGATTCTGCCGGGAGAGGTTGTGGGAAAGAGAAACAAGAGAAGCAGTTTGCCCTACGGGAAGGGAGGAGGTAGATCAACGCTTTCCTCCTCCCCATGGCTTTACGGATGTCTTGTCCCCTTTCGGCCAGGCCAGTTGCTCCCCAAGCTTTGGCCACTGTCCCGCTCAACGCTTTTTCTCCAAAACATTCACTTGCTTTTTAAATTCTTTAATATGCTTGTCTATGTCAAATTAACTGAACTTCAGCAATAGTATAGATTCTTTCTAAACAAAGTCACGTACAGCTAACAACCAGAGTGCGCTGTTCAGAATCTCTATGCTACTGACTTACTTTTTTTTTTTTTTTTTTTTAGCCAAAAGCACAGAAACAAGCCACAAGGATAAACAGACTATTCTGGAGGTTGTTTTGTTTTGTTTTGTTTTTAAACGCTGACATTAACCTGCATCGAGCTTGCTTCTTTGTTCTTAGATCTCCAACAGAGAGTGTCAGCATGAGGCTGTGGGCTGGTCCAAGGATTTTAGACTTATTCAGGATCTGACGCTATAAAAAAAGCCCGGTCCATTTGGGATGATATCTAGGGTGGATTCAGGCATTGATAAGTTTTTAGGTTTCTCTGACGACTTGTGTTCTAGTACTCAAAATGCAGCCTACAGACCTGCAGCAGTGGTGAGGGTGGGAACTTGTTAGCCATGCAAACTTTCCTACCTTAGTCCATTGGTTCTCAACCTGGGGGTCATGACTGCCTGTCAGATGTTTACATTATGATTCATAACCATAGGAAAATTATAGTTATGAAGTGGCAGTGAAACAATTTACGTTGGGGGTGGGTGTCACCACCACATTCAGAACTGTCCTGAAGGGGTTGAGAGCCACTGTCTTAGACCATCTGAATCCAAACCTTCGTTGCACAACAACCCCAAGATACTATGTGCAAGGCAGAGCTGCGGTGTTCTTAGACTATGCATCCACGAAGACATGTATGAAGACAACGCTCGTCAGGGTGACCGATGCCTTCTGGTCTTGCTGCACCTCCCTCGGTGACTCAGAAAGGTCCCAACACATGCACTGCAGATGTGAGAGCCGTGGGTCCTGCTCGCCACAGTTTCTGGGCTAATCTGTAACAGCAGCTGCACTGCCAGGTCACCTGGAGCTAAATCTGGCTTCAGAGTGACATGGAAATGAGCTCATTCTCTTATGTGTGACTGAATGGGCTGCAATTTGGATCCAAATTGTCTACCTTAAAAGCAGGATTAAAGATATAAAGTGTTGGCTCTCAGATGGATTTCTCTCTGAAGGTTAAAATAAAAAACAAACAAAAAAACCACAACTCTTAAAATGCAGAATGTAGAGCCAAGAGAGTGCTCTAGAATCCCCAGCCACTCCGCTTCATCTTCAGAGGTTGTATTTTTTGAAATTTTTGCTTAGACTTGATTTTTTAAATGTTTACTTGAGTGAAAATGTGAAGCCAGAAATGGAAAGCTCGACCTTTCTCCAGCTATGTATTTGAAGTGTGTCGTATTTGCAGTTTTAAAAGCCTTTAAGCTCACACATGATATCTGTAAAGCTCCTCTAATAACAGCAAATGTTTTAAGTAGATTTCTCTCCCAACATGTAGGATTCCAAAGCATAGCTCACTGGACTCGGGGTGGCAACTGAAAATTTTCTAATTGTGAAGTGAAATAAGACCATAGGTATTTGCAGTGAATGAAAGGGGGATGGGAAATGGAAAGGGAAACAGGAGTGGCTAAGTGCTCCCTTCAAAGTGCCTTTGGATTCGAATCAACAAAAGCAAAACACCTGAAATCTGGAATAAAGGATGTTTTTTTTCTTTAAAAGTCTTTCCTTTAGGGAAGTGTTTCTTAAGTCTCAGGAAAGGAATGTGCAAAGGATGACTTAGAAGCTGTCAAGAGGCCCAGGTGTGTTGTGGCACATGCCTGTAATCCTGGCATCAAGATGCTGGAAGATCTGGAGTCCAAGGTCACCCTTGGCTATGCAGCCAGTTGAAGACAGTTACATGAAACTGTCAAAGGAAGGAAGGAAGGAAGAAAGGAAGGGAGGGAGGGAGGGAGGGAGGGAAGAAAGAAAGGCAAGCAAAGTGATTGAAAAAAAGAAAAGATTAATGCTGGAACCTTTCCTAGAAGTACAAGTTTGTACTTCTAACACACCAACAATCTGGCTCTCCACTCTCCTGAGCTTGTGAAGCAACGCACAGACGCCACATCAAGGACCCTGGTTTTGCCAGTGCTTTTTCGCACGCTCATAAAAGTTACATTACACGGAGTCCTCCCATTTGGAACAGCTTGAGAGCCAGGAACAACTTCCAGCATCTAGCTGGGCAGTCTGGTCGCAATCTCACGGGGATGTGCCAGGCCAGATGGAAAGCCTAACCCACCAGACTGTGCCAGGCAAAAGTCACCTCTCTGCTTTCAGAGACACGGCCACCGGGAGCTGCTGCTGGGGCTCAGTTCACACCCAGAAAACTTTTGTCAAAAGTTGGGAAAGGCTCTTGATACTGCTCACGCCCTCATTTACTTTCAGACTCAAAAGATGTCAGAAGTGAAGGCTTGCCCATGCCTAGACCCAGCAGATGAAGAGGCTGGTCTCAAAAGGGTTAAGAAGCTAGCCATCTACACGCAAGGGTCCCTCCAGGGCCTTGGCCAGAAGACCCTAGCTCCCATCACCTCCCGCGGCCCAGCCTGAAGGGGGCGGCACGGGGACGGGCCCCTGCCTACCGGCACCATGGAGTAGGTCATCATCATCATCATGTCCTGGCTCTCGGCGCGGATGTGTGACGCAGGCTCTCCGCTGTGGCTGCGCTTGTTGCGCGCTGCGCTCGTGGGGTCCTGGGGTGGTTCGGGGACCCGGCCAGATGCACGACTCAGTTCCGCCAGAAAGGCGCGTAGGGCGCTGTCCTCGTGCTGCTCCCGGCCGCGTTGCGCCTCCAGCGCCCGCAGCGCCGCGCTCAGCCCTCGCCACTGGCACAGCACGAACACGGTGCCCGCGGCGTTCAGCGCAGACAGCAGCGCTACGGCCACCAAGGCGCCGCGCAGCCCCCAGCCTGCAGCCCCGTGGCCTCGCTCTGCGGCTCGGGTCATGTCTGCGTCCTCAGGCTGGACAACTCGGGGCAGCACTGGGCCTTCTCCCGCAGGGGCAGGTTTTGTAGCCTTGCGCGAGCCGTGGACTGGTGGCAGAGCCGTGAGTCAAAGCTGCCTTTAGACCCGTCTGGCGAAGCGGGTTGGGGACAGTAGTGGTGGCGCCCCAGAAGCCCAGAGGGACAAGCGGGCAGTAAGGGGGTGAGAAGCCAGAAGAGAGAAGTGCGGAGGAGGGGCAAATAGCAAACAGGCCTCCCCTCTTTTTCTTGCTGTCCTACCCGTGGGCATTGCCAGGGCCCAGACAGGCATAGTCGGGGTCAGACTGAGGAGGAGGGCAGGAATTCTTAAAGCCTGAGAAGTTTCTAGATTCCACCCCCTCCTTCCTGCAGTCATCTTTGGAGAAAACCATAAGCATTCCCAAACACACTGTTCTTGGGAGGTCTGCTGCTTGGGCTCAGGTTCAAGGTGCCCATCACTCCTCAAGGCCGCCGTGTGGCCACGGAGGACTCTAAGAGATCTCTCCCAGAACAGAGACGGTGAGAGACAGGGAAGGGTAAAAAGCCACCCATTAAAAACAGAGAAGCCAGGTGCACTTAGCAAGCAGAGGCCATCCGCAAGGCGACTGCTAGGACCGAGTTAAGAACTTTCCCACCAGTCTCAAACCTGGGAGGCAGCAATGATGATGAAAAAAAAAAAAAAGTTTTTGGAGACCTGGCTCCAAAGCCAGCGGCCAATGCCAGACATCTGGGAGTGGTGTGGTCCTGTGTCGTCGTCCCCCCCCCCGCCCCTCCCTCCCCGCTGGAGATCAAAGCCAGGGTTTTGCAATTGCTAGGCAGGAGCCAGAGCCCTAGTTCTGAGCCACACAGATTTCACTACATAGCTCAGGCTGGTCTAGAACTCGCTCCTGCTTCAACCCCTTGAGTGCTAGGATTGCAGGCATGTCTTCCATTTTATGTATTTATTGTTTTAGGTTATGTGTCGGGGCGTTTTGTCTAGGTGTGTGCCTAATGCTCACAGAGGCCAGAAGGGGCTGTGAGCCCCCATGTAGGTGCTGGGACTCAAACTTAGGTACTCTGAAAGAGCAGCCAGTGCTTTGAACCACTGATCCATTTCTCTAGTCCCTACCTGGAATATTCTAAGCACATTCCTGGAAACATACTGAAGTTCTTTCTGGCTGAAGGCCTGGAGAGACTGGTCAGGACTGGGAACTTAAACTACACCTGCCTTTTTACAATAACCTTACCTACTCTAAGCTCGGCGCGTGGCGTGCCTCAAGAGTCACTGTTCCACGCCAGGTATGGCAGCGCGCAGTGCACATGGAGGCTGAAGCAGCAGCAGCAGCCTAAGTTTGAGGCCAGATGGGATAACACATTAATAATGGGAGCCCTGTCTCCAAAACACTGTCTCTTGAATTGAGTCACTTCACAGCCTCTTGAGAAGACCTTAAGGCTTTGTCAGCTTCTCTCAGAATGGCACCACTTTTCTAGAAATCTAGGACTTTCTGGGAACCCTGGTCATAGGGGAAGACTTGAGTGGAGGCCAACATTGCTGCCTCCACAGTCAGAAAGCCCAGAGAGGCAGTGGCTCTCTGCCATCAGCTCATCTGCAGTAGTCAAGGAGAAGGACTCTTCCAGCCCTTCCAGCCTGAGAGCCAAGGCTATTTGAGTCAGTCCTGGGGGAAGAACAGTAGGATGATAGAGGGTGGGGCAAGAGGACAAGGGAACAGTGGAGCTTTGTGACTGCCTCTATAACCATCAAGTTCATGCTGCTGCTGGTCTTCCTGCCAGAAGAGCGGATACGCAGCGGGATCAGACTTATCTTCAGGGTAAACTATGGCAGAGCCTTTGGACATGCACAAGACAACTGGAGCTCCATCTTAACTACAACCGCGAGTCCAGGGTTAGCCCTGGGCTTCAATAGAAACCTCAACCAACTTGAGTATTCTTAGAAGAGCAGCTACACAAGATGGCATTTAGAAAGCAGGAAGGGATTGAGCTACAGAGAGACAAAGTTGGGGCTCAGTACCCCAGGTTCTCTGTTTAACTCAGTAACCCTTCATTGGGCCCTTACTGTGTGCCGGCCTCTGTGATGGACATTGAAGACACAGGTGTGAACAAGGCAACCAGTGGGAACACCATGGCTGCTTCTGAGCTTCTCCTTATCCTAACATCCATTATAGCTATTATGGACCACCGTTACCACCATCAGCAGCACAATATAGGGCTCCATTGGTCAGGCGACATGTTTATTGCACCTTGTCATTCCCATCAGGTAAGGTAGTCAGAATGGATATTTAACAATTATCTACGGGATGAACTGGTGAATGAATAAATGAGTGAAAGGTTTGTGGATGACATTTCTAAGGAGAACAGGTATGTGTGATGCTGGTGGCACTTCACCGTGGCCTTTCACATGACCGTGGCATGTTCATATGCCTTGGAGCTGGCCTTCACCTTTTTTGCAAGGCTCGTTTCCAATGTTTGGAAGTGTGGTGTTAGCCTGAAATGTATTTTTTTTTTCCTTTTAAGTCAGGACCACAGCTAGAGACAGAATGGAGGTGAGAATCCGCTAGAATCCTTAAGTCAAAAAGCTGCTCCTCAAGCCGGGCGTAGAGGCGCTAGCACTCAGGAAGGCAGAGCCAGACCAATCACTGTGAGTTCGAGGCCAGCCTGGTCTACAAAGCAAGTCCAGGACAGCCAAGGCTACACAGAGAAATCCTGTCTCGAAAGACAAAACGAAAACCAAAAAGAAGACACTTGTGGCATGGCCACCTAATAGGACCGGTGGATGGGGTTCCTGGGCTATTGCACAGGAGCCAAGAGAGGTGGAAGAAGGGTGAAGCAAAGGCTGACGCCTTCCCATGAGACACTTTCTCAGTCTTTCCATGCAGGCACTCCGCGAAAAGGAGAGCCAGAGAGCTCTGCTCAATGCTCAGTTATCTCCTAACTCATGGTTCCTCTAACCAACTGCCTTTCCCTGTTCTCTTTCATATTTTCCCTCTGTCTCCTGCCTCTGACTCTCCTAGCAGCAGATCACCACAGCAGCACCTTACTCCTTGTCCAACCTGTTCCATGCTGCCGTTCCCTCATCAAGGCTAGTCCTCTCCCAAGCCCGCGCGTCCCCTCTCCCTGACCTCTGCAAGCCTCACTGGTTCAGTGACCCTCTACATGGGCTTTGGTGACGATAGAAATGACCTTGAAACTACTTTTGAACTGTGGCTTTAGGCATCTTAACTGAACTTCTCTAAAGAGGCTGTAACTGTTAAGATTTCGTGAGAAAGGGCTTCTGAAGTCCTCGGCTTGTGGCAACTTCTGCTTAGCTCTGTTGCTGTGGGCTACGTGAGCTCACGGACCGGGCCTCTCTGCTGTTGAACTGGGTCACAGTCTTTTAGTTGCATTACGGTGCTGGTCTTGGTAGGGAATCCACATCACTTTGCCCCTCACAGCTCAGATTTGTGCTAATTAGGAATATGTTAATGCTTTCTGAGAACTACACATTTAAAATCCATATCATTTTAATTGTATTTATTTTGTGCATGTGTGTGTGAGGGCACTGTTGTCACAGCGTGCATATCGAAGCCAGGGGACAGCTTGCCAGACCTGTTCTTTTCTTCCAGCATGTGGGTCCCAGGAATGGAACTCGGGTTGCCAGGCCTCATGGCAAGTGCCTTTGCCCTGAGATGCACTGCTGACCTAACTGTGAGTGCTTCAAAAACTTTAAAAACTTGAGCTTTGGCCTGTGGTACTCTGGCTCTGAGGTTGGGTCTGTGAGGCCCTTCACAGTTCCTAAGCCTCTTGAGCTTCCTTGCAAGGCAGATGTGCTTACACGCCATGACCTGACTGGTGTTCTACTTCATGGACTGGAACTTTCTACTTATTAATTTCAAAAAAATTTAGCTATCAGTCTGGCCTTGCTTTGTTGACATAGGAGATTCAAGATACGGTAGAGGTACAAAGAGATACACAAATTCCCTCTATTCCAGACCGAAGAAGCCAAGAATACGATGTGCTGCCTTTACAATGAGGAACAATTTTTCCATTAAAAAAACAGATACTTTTCCCCCCAGAGGTTAAATAGTAGTCGCTAAAATGCGTCCTGGGCTCTGGAGAATAAAATCAGACTGAGGAATAGTCTCCAGCTCATCCCGTAGCGTGTTTCCCCGATTGTGAAGTGAATGCTTTTATTTAGGATAAGGCGCCTTGATCTTGTGTGATAAGAATTGGCCTTATCCTGTGACTTCTGTGCATTGTTTCTCCATACCCAGCTGCCTTCCCCCTGGTCCGTAACTAAGGAGTCCTGTTGGAGGCTGCCATGTGCGTAGCCTTTGCTCAACCTCAGCTGAACACCCAGTGCTTCTATTCACTAATTAATAGAAGTAGTTAATTAATTTTGTTTATTCTGTTATACAGCTCTAGCTGGTCTGGTCCTTGCAATGTAGCCCCGCTTTAGCCTCAAAGTCTTTGCAACTCTTGTGTGCCAGCCTCCCAAGTGCTGGCATTCTGGGCATGGACGATCATACCCTGTTTTCTTGTGCAGTTTTTCATAAAATGTACCATGCCTTCCATTTTCTTAGAAATCAGCTTTGGAACTTCAAAGTGACAGCATTAAATCATGGTGTCTCTGGAGTTAGGAGTAAGACTTGGTGGTTTTCCTTCCTTGGGGCATCTGAATCTGAGTTGGGCAGGGACCCACAGATTCTCCCCCAGCAAGCAGGTGAGTGTCTGAGTCCTTTGAGCTGTCTGTTTACTGTTAGGTGCAAAGCTGCCCATGGTTGTAGCTGTGGCCGTCTCAACCTCCCCACCATCTCCTGCTTTGTCCTTTACTTTTCTATGACAGACATAACCTCTGCCCGAACCCCAGCAAAGCTCACCGAACTGTCATAGGCTTAGCTCTCTAAAGCAATACTGAGGTGACATTCAAGGTCCAAGGTGTTTCTTAGCAATCGGCACCTGTGAAGGAGAGACTGAGGGAACTGGCATTTAGCATGTAAGTCTGACTCAGTT